TTTTCTCTTCTTCTCAGCGGCAGCCTTGGCTTTACGTATCTTCTTCTCATCTTCGGAGTCTGAAGCGAGATCGTCGGACTCGTATTCTTGGACAACAAGCCAGCCATCTTTGTTCTTGTCGGCGATTTTGATCAACTTCTGACGCTTTTTGATGAGCAGTTTTCCTTCTTCAACCAACTTGTGAACATCAGCCGGGCTACTAGCACTCTCGTCGATTCGTGTTAATATGTTGTCCAGTTGCAAATTCAACTCAAATTGCTTTCGGTTACCTTTGAACTTAATGTCTGCAGCTTCTTTATCGGACTAAGAGCTTCGCTCAAACCGCTTCCCTTTCTCTTCCAATTGAGAGGTCAAGTAGCCTTTAACAAGAGAGAAAACCTCATCCACCAACTGTGAATTTGAAGAAGGGTTCTGCGAAACAACATCGGCTTCAACGACAGAAGGAACGGAACCACTTTCTTCTGTAGAATTCATAGCTGTATCCTAGCATCAAAAGAAGTAAACGCCAGGATGGAGAGCGCGAGCGAGAGGAATCTGTCAACTCTTTGAAGCCTTAAATACTACACATCAACCAATCACAAAAACCCCTGGAGACACGCCCTAACGGCGTGTTCCAACAAAAACGAAAAAACATAAAGAGCTAACGAACTGCATCAACTTCATGCCAGCGGAAAACACATTTTATCAAATTTACGATAGCCTTTTCTCACAAGGGTAGGTTTTCTTGTTTTTCTCTCTTTTTTTTTTTAATAAACAGTTTCATTCACGTCTCACCTTTCCCCAAAAATGTGAATTTCGTGTTCTGTCAGTGGTTGCATATACCTGTTTGTGTTTGTATTAACTCAAAGTTGCGATTCTTGAATGGCTGTAAATTACCTTAATAATTACTAACAGTATAGGTCTCACAAAAATTTCAGGTCTCTCCTTAATCAATGGCGTGATTCAACATTTCTGAAATGCATGATTTATGAATGGATAAATCGCCGACCAAATTCAATCAAGAGGTTTCCTCAACCCTAGGCCTTACAAAAAGTCAGTACCGCTTATTATCCGGCACTTTTCGCTCTCTAATGTATGACAATAGCAGGTTGTGTCATGATGCTAACACTCAAAAGGTCCAACTTCTACAACAGTGTGCAATTTTTTGTTAATGAAGTGCAGATTGTCCTCTCTCATTCCTCTGAGTACCAAGGATATCGCCTGTTTCAGGCAGTCAAAACGAGAGGAGGCTAAGTAGAGGTAAGAAGGATCCTTTG